GCATGTGAAGACTAAGCTTTTGGGGCCAGACTGCTCTAGTCCCAGGTGACTCCTTCGGGGAAGGCGGCTGTAAGTTACTCTTTTGGAAAGGTGTTACGGTGACATCCAATGCTTCTGTGACTGAAGCTCACTAACTGCAGCGCCTATCGCGATTGAATTACCACTTGTATAGAGGACGACTATTGTGTATACGAATTTCTAGACTGCTGGGAAGGTCAGACAGCTCTGGCAGTCGACTCCTTTGGGGAAGGGGTGCTGTAGGTCTCCCTTTTGGAAAGGTGCTATGGTCACTTTTTTTGGTTATGTGGCTCTCGAGCCTACTAACTGCAGCTCTTTTGCCGAGTAAATTACCCACTTGTTGGCTATACGAGGGCTGTTGCCTATGAATTCTTAAGGCATGCTGTGAAGCCAGGCAGCTTTGGTAGTAGTTGGCTACTTTGGGGAAGAAGGTTATAGATGAGGCGGCTTCTATTGTTTAACCTGTGAGTGCAGCTTACTAACTGCTGCCTCCTTCACAAGCAGATTAGGCACTTGTCTGTAGGGCCGCTATTGTGTTCATTTCTTATAGCATGTGTACTTTATTTGTCACACGGCTACTGTAACAACAATTTTTAAAGGATGCTACAGTCGCCTATAGGTGACAGAGTATAGCTTACTAATGCTGGCATCTTTCCGCGAGTGAATTAGTCATTTATTGTCTGTAGAACGGCTACACTCTAAAAAAAGAGCGAGTAAAAAGGGTGTCTTTTTGTCCCACACACAATAATCGTCATTTATATTGCGTTCCATCCTTGCGCTATCGCCCCGCGCCCGGTACATTCCGGTCACGATCGACATGCCCATTATCAGGGTTACATTGCATTCTCGATAGAAAAGTGGCCAGCGCCGAGTTTTCAAGAAAGGAAGCGCACGCAAGTATGACGGTGATTATTGTTGTGGGACAGAAACACACCCTTTTTACTCGATATTTTTTAGAGTGTATTGTCTGCGCTGTTAGAGACATTGGAGGCCGCTCGGCTTCAGTGACAATTGGGCTGTTGGGAAGGGTATTATTGTTGACTCTTTCAGGAAGGGTGTTTTCCGCAGTTGCTTACCTCTGGCATTGTTTGTTGACAATGGCTCGCTAATAACAGATTCTTGAACAGGAAGTAAGTGGGGATATCAAGTTGAGCTATGTATAAACTATAATAAAGCGGGGGGAAAACGGTAAACAGTCCCTTTGGCGAAGAAGAGAAGACTTAAAATGGAAGGTTTTAGCTCGGGACCGATACACTGCTATGACGCGCATTAGAAGTTCCTGTAGAGTGAGAGAGAGAGGTAGACTTTATTACTTTCCGGCAGATCGCTGGCTGGCTGGGCTCACACCTAGGAGCCAACGGAGAGACCGTGTCTCCCGGCATGCTTCCTTGGCCTGCTGGATCGCCCAGTGTTGCTTGTCCAGGCCCGAACTGAGCAGCGCAGTCTGCCAACACGCCCGAAGGTCCTCGTTGGATGCCGCGACTCCAGAATTTCTTATTAATGCTGGACATTCCCATAGGATGTGGTCAAGAGTGGCTCTGGTGGTATTCGTGTAGAACGCTGAAAAAGTTTTGCGAGACAACCGTTAGGACTCGCATGAACTAATTTGTCGCATTAAAAAAATGATCCAAAACAAAACAGAAAAGGAAGTTCGACGCTATAGTGACTGTAGCAAGCAGGAGTTCGATTTGGGCTACAGTGTTCTTTTTGCTTTTTTTGCAAGGTTTTCCGAAAACAAGTAACCTTAAAGAGGCATTCGCGCAGATTTCGGCGGCAAGACGTGTCTTTTTCGTCAAAAATACACGTCGCAGTTTTGTATTCTGCATCCTGGCCGCCTGGTACAGCGGTTATGGAGCCGGGCGGCTATCCCAACGTTCGCGTGGCGCTTGCTTGCGATTCCTGCTATGGTAGTCGCTTTTTCGTTTGGAGGCACAGTGCAGTGGTGGGGGTAAACCTGCGTCGATTGCTGCAGTTGGGAATTGCAGCGCCATATACTGCTTCAAAAGTGTAATTTTTTTTGTGTGTCTAGTTTGCGCCATTGCTGCGCCACAAGGTGGTTTTGGAAACCGAAAGTAATGCTGATCACCGTGCATCGCGGGCGGATATATTACGCGATGGTCGCCATCTTGTAATACTTTCGCTGCTGCAAAAGCTTGGAATGGGCCGATCAAGTATTCCGCTCTCCGCGCGATTGCAGCGGTGTCTTTTCTGGTAATCCATTGGCAAAGAACGAAAGCGATGTGGTGAAAACCGGAAAGCGCGCCAGTATGACGTATCGCCGACAAAATGCCCACGTGTGTGGCGTATATAGCGCCGCTTTGAGCCTATACTGCACGCTTTTAATGGCCGGCAAATACTTGAGAGTGCCGAGGCGCCGATCGCTGCCACCTCAATCGTTGATAGGGACGGTGTCCAGTTGAAACGAAAGCCGCTCGCTGTAGCGGAGTCGAGCGTTGTGGATCGCGGGCACCTTCAGACGGCAAGCGTAGCACACGCTTTCATGAAGCTACAGTCCAAACGTGCCTCCGTCCGTGGCCGGGACGCGTGTTTGGCAACCGTATGCTGGAGAACGCACGAGAGAGAAGGGAGACGCCTATGTCGTCTGCTACGGCGCTCATTGGCGACCACCGCTGCCAATGAGCGCCGTAGCAGACGACATGGCCGTCTCCCCTCTCCCTCGTGCGTTCTCCAGCATACGGTTGCCAAACACGCGGCCGGGACCGCTAGAGCTTCCCTTGCAGAAAGCTCTCATCGCCACGTTAGTGCAACAGGCTTCTCGCGGGGATTCGCTCGCAGGATTTCAAGCTGGACGGTTGTGCCCTCGCGATCTCCGACTTCAGCGTAGCTCCCGCCGACTGGTTCGCCCTCCGCGGTCTCCTGATGCCGTGTAGCTCTCGCATTGTGGCACCCCGCCCTTGGACTGCTTCGACCGGATCCCCACTTTCCTATCTCCTTCTTTTTCCTCTCGTTGGCTGTCTTCTTCTGCTTCTACTTTCCTTCTATTCTTTTTATCCCTCCTTCCCCCCACCCCTATAAGGCACTGCGCCGTGTCGCCTGAAGGCAGACAGAAATTAGGTGCCTTTTTTCTCTTCATTGTAACCACTACCACCACCACAGGCTTCTCGCCGCATCTGTGCACGGTCTGCGGCGGAGTGGGTTCAAGCGGCGGCGTGTACGCGAAGTAGGCGAAGCGCTGCACGCAACTAGCCAGTAGACGATCGGCTCCTTGCGACCGTATTGCGCCTTAATAATAATAATAATAATAAAAATGTCAGTTTTCGCTAAGTAACAGATCGCAGTACACACTTATCGCGCACTGCCGATTATGTGCTTTTCGTCGCTATGACTGTCGCTGCGTATCCCGGACTCCGCACTATACCATCGAAATGCTCTTTGGTGTCGTCGCCGCGTGCCATCGGACGATCGGGCGAGAGTGCTATTAATTCCTGAACATTGGCAAAACGAAAGTGATGGCTTCGTGGTGGGTACTTCAGGCAATATTTGAAGTGGCACTGTATGTATTTCTTTTTTAGCGGTGAAGGGGCGTTAAAGAAATGCGAATTGATATTTGGTCATAGGAATGCGCACGGGGGGCTCAAAGCGTCTTATACATTGACATAATAGGTCAGAGGGGGGGGGGGGGCGCAAAGTCAGTCCCATACATTGACAAGATAGGAAGAGGGGGTGGCGCTGCGACAAACCTCTGCCCCCCCCCCCTCCCCTCCTGAAAGATGACCCTGCGCATGCTTATGTACTTTGTGGTTAATGCACTCTACGTTTAGTGTGTAGTTAGCCACGTTCCCAGTAGGTTCTCGCCATGTACGTACATAATAACCAGGTTTTAGTGCAGCGAGCTTTGAATGTCTGTCCGTGCATGTGTTTGTTTGTGTGTGCACTGCTATGAACTTCATGCAGCAGCTAGCTTGTTGGCGCAATATCCTTCACTATCTTATGTCACCGCTTCTGTACATAATCTTACTATAGTTTATTTTTTGGTGGTTGCAGCTTTTGTATAAATGAATATGTAAACTGAGGGAACAGTAAACTAAATTCAAGCTAAATTTTCTTCCTGGGTGTGTATAAAAAAAAAAGCTCGTGCCTGCTCCAAACACTGAGGTAGCTTTACCTAAAGCTGAATTTGCCTGCTCCAATGGCTGTCCCAAAATGCTGGAAGACATTCCCACCAATGTTAGGGGCCGATGCTATGCGATTACGGTGCAGGTTAAAAAGAAAAAACCAGGTGGAATAATTTAATCCATTGTCCGACAGTAAGGTGGGCCTCGTAAGCCTATCCTGGTTTTGGCAGGTGAAACCCCAGAAACTGTTATTGTTAGAATCTTGACAGCCAGGGAGGCGCCTACAGCGTGCTGTAGAACACCTCGGTCGCAGTATGCGATTTGGTCTATGCATTATATCCTAGCCAGGGGGCGCACGAAAATTTTTCAGTCTTGCTTATGTTATATAGTTGCGCACATACAAACACAGACGAACATGCATAAAGAATAGTTGACACTCCAACCCCACCCCAGCCAGGCCCGTAGCGAGAAAGTTCTTTTCGAAGGGGGGGGGGGGGGGCACTTGTCTGAAGCTTTAAATAAGCGCCCATTTTCATGTTTATTCTCGGTAAAACACCCCCCCCCCCCATACGCATTTCGGGGGGAGGGGCCTTGGGCAACCCCTTGGCGATGGGCTTCCCCCTTTCCCCCTCACTTCCTTCCAGAAATATTTCTGGCACACCCCTGATGCCATATCAACCGCGTTGCACCTCCGTTGTGTGCTTGGATGGGTACCTGAACCGTGCAAAATTAGGTTATAGTACGAGCCCTGTGACTCAACCAAGGTTTCTTCTCTGTGTTACGTACATTACTCATTTGCAACCAATCCAGCCGAATAGACGTTGCCTTTCACTCTGTGGCAGTTGTCAATAATTCCCTGCTGGCGATCGTCCACTAAAAGGGTGTTCACTTGTGTTGCTCGCCCAGGATTGGTTACGCCATCGCCGAACGTCTGGCGCAAGATGGCGCCAAGGTTGTCGTCAGCAGTCGCAAGGAGGACAAGGTCAACCAGGCCGCCTCTCGACTGGCCGCCCAGGGCCTGGATGTCATCGGGGCGCCGTGTCACGTGGGCAAGGCCGAAGACCGGGCCAACCTCATCAAGCTGGTGAGTGGTGGCGGGGTGTTTGCGGACTCTGTGTACAGAGATGGACGGCCCAGCCTCAAGAGGCAGCACTGAAGCGGAAAGATAATAAGAATGGTGACTCATCTGTACTCGTGCACGGTGGGGGTCAGGCACGTTGCAGGGCTGCAAAAGGCTGAAATTGGCCATACCGGTGTGGCTACAACATGTCCCACCTGGGAATCGATTGGCGGCAATAAAACGTGCAATGGGATGCGAGACGCCACTCAAAAGAAGAAACACCCGCAGGTCGCGGGTTCAAATCCCGGCTGCGGCGGCTGCATTTCGGATGGAGGCGGAAATGTTGTAGACCCGTATGCTCAGATTTGGGTGCACGTTAAGAACCCCAGGTGGTCGAAATTTCCGGAGCCCTCCACTACGGCGTCTCTCATAATCATATGGAGGTTTTGGGATGTTAAACCCCACAAATCAATCAATCAAGAGAAGAAACAGATATATGATTGTGTAATTGATGCATTTTGAACACGACAGCGTTAAAGAGCTAGTTTCGCAGAAATTCTGGCGTCGGTGTGGTTGGTTCTGAGCGAAAAAGCATCGTCTTGTACGTGAATGGAAAGTCGAGAAAGTTGCGAATAAAATAAAGAACAGAAACTTCTGGGTTCGAGTAAGTGTTCAATCTAGGCCGTCTGCGTTGTAAGCAAGTGTTCTAGCACAGATCCTTAATATTTGTTGAAACTGCGTTGGAAAAAAAAAAAACCCTATATGAATGTCATGTAGGGGAAGGAGTCTCCTTAACGCATCACATATTGCGTAGCAGAAGCATACACTCGCAGCTATGTGTTAAAACGTTGTTGTTTATTGAGCAACAAAGGGATGTTTTAAATGCTCACCCGTTACGAAGTGATCAGACATACTTGATCATCATCATCAGCAGCAGAACCACGAACAAAGTGAACAGCTGCATAGGGTCGCGTGTTGCCCTACGGAGGCATGGTGGGTCATTTGCTAGTGGGCCTTTCGCATTATTCACAGAAGGAATAATGACGGCATATAGTGGGCGCTTGACAACTGTGCTTGCAATGGGCATTGCTGGATAGTTTGAAACGGTTACGCGCAAACTCGTTCGTTTTTTTGCGGCACGGTTGTGGTGGTGGTGGTGGTGGTGGTGGTAGTAGTGGTTAGAGTAGGAGAAAGGCACCTAATTTCTGCAGCCCGGTCGGGAGCACGGCGCAGTCGCTAAAATTTTACCCTCATTGCATGTTCAATCCAAGCAGGCTAGCACTTTAAAAGGCGAGGCAAACGAGGCCCGATTATCCTATCGTGATCTGCTCTTCAAGGCCAGCTCGAGCTAATTTTTTCTAGATGTTAAAAAAATCTTTTTATTTTTTTGCCCAGCTTTCCTTGAGTTCAGCCATGTAGCACGCAATAGTGTTCAATACACTACCACTGAGGCAATTAGGCTGTTTGCATGGTAGCTACACTATTGTTGTGCTGTAAGTCAACTATATAATCACGTAATTAAAACTTACTTATAGCATGTGTTAATTAATTTGTAAAATATATTGGTAGTGATGGCCTGAATGGCCATAGCTACCAATTGAATGCAAAAAATTACAAGGATTATAATAAAAAGTATATGCAGTAGGTACTTGTGCAATGCAAGCAGCTTCATGATTATCGCCAAAAAGAAAGCCAGGTTTTTCTTTTTGAAAGCATTGGTAGGCACACGAAAGTATTGGACAACTGAACCAAGCCAGTCCTCACATGCAGGCCCCATTGTATATACCATGAAATGCACAGACGCAGACTTAAAGAAACGCAGGGTAATTGGTTCACTTGCAGAATCCAGCGGAGGCAAGAGAGATTGTGTGCTTTGGCAGGGAAGGTCGTGTCCCGAAGTTAGATAGCAGGACAGTTTAATTTGTTTCACCTCTACCAATTGTGAAGCGATTCAGTGAATTATTTCGGCGAACCTCTACATAGATTGCTTTGTAAATGCCCCCCCCCCCCTCAACTTCCCTCCCCATTTGTCCTTTACTTGTTTAGGTGGCCGCTGCTCGAGACGGACACAGTGTTGGCATCAGTACATTCATTTTTACATTCCTGAACAGGAGACAGAAAGAAAAAAAAATTCCACGCATAAGCTTTTCTTGCATGTGTGCACTTGGCAAAGCAGGCTTGCCAAGTGCACACATGTAATTCACTATACTCTGTGTGTGTGCACACACACAGAGTATAGTGAATTTTGGTTCCTCATAACGTGAAGTGCCATTGAAGAGTAAACAAGTACGGTGCATTTCGCCTGCAAACGTACGGCTGCTAGTGAAGATTGTTTACGTGTGACCTGATGTTTGTAGTGGTCATTTTCCTGAAGGCTCAACATAGTTGAGGAAATTGACATGGGCACGCCTTTCTTTCCTCTTGTGCAGCTGGTAGCTGTTTTGTATTTGCGACTCCTACTATAAACAAGTAGTAGCTTGCAAAAAAGAAATTACCTTGCTGCTCGAAGTGGCCTGTTGATCTTCTGATGAATACCTCACTTTTTGTGATGCGAGTGGAACTTCGTGTTGGAAAAAGTTGGCGAATAAGGTAGAACTACACGCCAGTAAAAGAATCTGCAAATATATATGCCATAAAAAGACGGGTTTTTGTTGACCTGCGTGTTTTTTCTATGCGCTTAATGATTTGCACTTGAGTGTGTTAGAACTTGGAACCTTATGTGATGTAGTATTTCCTGTGATACGGGATGTTTGATAAGCATGTTACAGTTATTTTGGGCAAATTGAGATTCATGTGGGATGAGCTGTCGTGATCACTTCTGGAATTCATGTCCGTTTCTGATGCTATTGATGCAGAACAGCCGCCGAAGCCTTGCTGCAAAAGAGAAAGACGACGATGGTTGCTGGTTTTTGATGAACCGAATCTAAATTTCTACAAGCACAGGTCTGCTCAAGCACCTTCGCCATTGTGCGCGTTCTGTGGTGAACTTGAAACAATTAATCATTTCTTTTTGACCTGCAGGTGATTTAACACAATACGAAAAACGCTTTTAAAAATACCTTTACGGGGTATTGGTATGGATTTATCTGTGCCTGTCATTCTGTCTTTTCGAGTTTACATTTCTGGGTTCTCTAGTGCGACAGTATGCACGGCCGTTCGGGACTATAATAATGAAACTAATAGGTTGACTAATTAATCTGTATTATTATTCTATAATGTGTCTACAAGATTATATACATATAAAAATCAAAGTATTGCTCTACTTTAAGAATAAATTCCTTTCTTTAATTTAATAATTATATGCATAAGATTAAGCACCACAATTTCCTAAGTCAACGGTAATCTTTCTATTATATGATCTCCATTGTTCTAAAGCTACACAACATTTCATAAAACCACTCAATTCTTGCCCAATCCCCCACAGTGGGTATGCGCCACGGACAATAGGTGAATAAGAACAAGAACTGGCGCCAGTTCATCAACAACCAGCAACCATCGTTGTCTTGAGATTTTCCAACTTAGAATACATTAACAACACTTATTGACGCTGTTTTTGAGATGCCTGAAATTTCCGGGCTTGAAAACATGCTAGCCAAACAACGCCAGTTTTCATAACATCATCGGCACAGTTGCATTGCATGTAGTGAAACTTGATTCGAATTTTCTTTTTGAACAACGCGTTATCACTCAATAGACCTAACACAGCACTGTTAAATCCGGAGAAAGCGTCCCTTGTACTCCCCCACCTCAGGAACTTGAAATTATCGGCAAATTGTGGAATGGGGGCTACCTTCCTGGAATGGCGCCGAAATTCACAATGGTGGCAGTGAAGTTATCCCGCCAGAAAAAACTGGAAGGTGTGCGAAATCTCTCAAATGTCTTTTCGTCATGTTCGTGGCTTAACACAGTGCAACGACAATTTGTAAGCGGAAGAAATACAATGGCCACGTTATCAGACCGCGGAAACCGTTGCGTGGAAGCGCCACCGACAGATGAGCCAACGTTACAGCTTTAGGCGACAAACGTAGATCTCGGAGGCCTTACTTTTCGTGACTGTCGTCATAGGTAGCATGTTGGAATACAGATCTCGATGGTCATGCTTTCGCACGCGAGACCCAGAAGTCCTGCTGAAGATTTCGTTCTCTTTTCTCGACAAATGATTGCTACAGGATTAAAATCACTGTCTCAGGCCAATTATCGGCCATTGGCCGGCTCGGGCATAGCAGTGCTCGGCCGTTACTGGGGCTGCTGCGGGAGGCCGCGACTTGTCCATGCGTGCGCGTGCGGATCGCACTGAAAAGCAGCAGATTCCAAGAAAAGAAAGGTTAAAAACTATGCACTGGTCTCTCCTAAAAGGAATCCTGATGGGATGTGAAGCAGCAGGGGTGCGCACGGCGTTGACCTGGGCATCGAGGCGGGTGCTGGAAGAACCGTTTGAAGCGAAACTCGGCGTAGCGTTTACTCGATTAAACGTTTGTTTGAAACGCAGACATGGGAGGCGGGACGTGTTGCAGACGCTTGCATTCGGCTTCCCTGTCTCGAGCGTCGTCGGTGTTGACGTCGCCATTCGCGAACACACGGCATCGCTAAACGTTGCAACGCTGGCGAGAGCCAGGAAACATACGCGCACATTAGATGGAAGCATGCAGTGATAGCGTCTCGGTCGTCGGCGCTATCGCGCGGCAAGCAGCGTCGCGCTGCCCACATTGTCGGTGCCGCGAGATTCTAGAGACACACGCAGCGCACGCAGTGGCTCATGGCTTCTTCTCGCCGACAGATTGAGAGAGGTGGCGCGGGTGAGATGATGCCCACGTGAGGAGCGCTCGAGCGATGCGAGATGTGGATAGAGTGAAGCGAGGGAGAGCTGACATGTGGTGAGCGCACGCAAGGTGAGGGAGAGAGACATCACTGCGCACTGCTAGGAGGCAGTGAGCTACTTAACACCGCTCCAACACCTGCAGTGAGGGAAGCGGGGCGTACATAGGGACAATGTTACACAGGCTAGTCAAGGAGCTGCTTCGTATCTAAAAGTGCTCAAGGTCACGAAGTGGTGTGACGCATTTTCTTCCTTCGTACCATCCCTCCCTGCTTAGCTTCCAGCAGTTTCACTGGGACCAGAGAGGAGAGAATGCAATTGCAACGTGCGACAAATTTTTGTAACTCCGCTCGTGCTGGCCGGATGCTTAAAAGTCTTGTGGTGGTGAATTCATGAGGCAGTAAGCTTTTCTAGTGAAGATGTTCCATAGCTACTTGGTAAATGATGCACAGCTCTTTTTTGGGAATACATCGTTGTTAAAAAGTAGTTAAATAAATGTGTGTGTATTGTTTGGTTTGTACCGACCGTGTCTGCTGTGTCCTTTCACTCCAAGAGTGCGCCGTGGCGTGTCGCTCGCCATTTCGAGGCCCCACATCCTTCAAGCACTTGTTTTCGTATGTGCATTTTAAGAATCTTTTGTAGTGTTTCTCACATCTCAGCTGTCAATATAGTTGAAGTTTTTGCCATGTTCTTACTTTGCATGCATTCGTTTTCATGTGTACATGCAGGTCATCGATAAACTGGGAGGCATCGATATCCTTGTGTCAAATGCAGGCATGAATCCCGTGATGGCACCTGTCTTAGATGTGAGTGGTTCTTAAGTTGAATTTAACTTCGTTTTTTTTTCAATGGGAGCAGAGCAGGAAAAAAAGCCGTGAACACGTCATGATATAGGCTCTGCTGCCTTACAATACAGCAGCTGCAACATTGTCAATAGCAAGTTAAAATTATCCTTAATGTTTCTGTGTAGAAATTTCAGTGCTCAGTAGCCAGATTACAAAAGTTCAGATTGCTATCTGTGTGCGAAGCAAGAATGCTTGCATATTTTGATTGCCATAGAGAAATATGATGCACGTAAAAATAAATTGCAGTTCCAATCCACACATTCATGTCTCTTAGTCCATCTAATACTTTGCAACGTTTACTCTGTTCAATTTGACCAATTATTAAGTGAATCAACAAGTCAATTGCTAACTTCCATGGAGCCTCACATTAAATCAGCATCCAATTACTATACCTGCTGTAGTCAAGAGAACATAGATGGTAAGACATTATCCTATATCTTCATCTTCTCTGTCACATTGTAGGCTTCATTAGTGCATCTGACATAATGAAAAAATAACTGGGTAATTAGTCTGTTCTATTAAGCAGTTGGTCAGACAATAAATTTGCTTATTGAGCTTAAGATCAATTAAATTTGCTTTGTTTCTAACTGTATTCTCTGTTTGTGATGGTCACATTTAATTTTTGTTCTTTCATCACGCCTGCTTCTGGTCCAGACGCCGGAGGCTGCCTGGGACAAAGTGAGTTTGTCTTCATTGTTTGTTTTCACTGGAGAATGGCTCCCATCGCATGCTAGTTTTGATTGTTGCCTTACAATGTTGCAACTACCCTTTAAGTGTGGTCTCAAATGCTTTCAGTCAAGAAATACCCTGGATAACAAATGTCTTGTTGTCTCTTGCTTCCCAAGATTTTTGACATCAACGTGAAGAGTGCGTTCTTGCTCACGAAAGAAATTGTGCCTCATTTAGAGAAGCGAGGGTAAGGAGACATCTCAATGTTTTGCATGCGCTCGTTTCTCATCTGGTGATGCCTGTAGCCATGCACACTTGCGAAATTTTCATAAATGTAAAACTGGTCTTCCATCACAGAAGTTTGCCCATATTACAGTCAAAGCGATAGCTTGCATAAAATGTGTAAAAGCAGTGTTTTACTTGTGTATATTGGACAACGGAAATAGCTCTTCTTACTAAAAGCACCTGCTGGAAGCACTGAGAAGCAAAATCGACAAATAGCCCCTTGGTCTACTTTTAAATGTTGACTACAGTACTGTCGTTAGCGAGTCAAATGTTTATTACAAAGAGGCACACTGGAAAACTATGTAAAAGAGTGTACGTGGCGGTGTTGTCGCTGTTGTGGAAGAAAGAGTGAAATACCTTATTTTTGCATGTGCATTTTTTCAGGGGAGGTTCCATAGTCTATGTTTCGTCCATAGCTGCTTACCAGTCATTCCCGGTGAGTTCTGCCACTGTCTCAACCAGAATTTTCGCTGAGGCAATCTGTTCGATGCTTTTCTTGCACAATTGTAAATCTTCGTGTGTTTGACAGTTTACTCATAATCTTTCGTTAGAAAAGCTAAAAGTGAATGTATCAGGATTATAAATCATCATACAAGGCCAAATCAGTTGGAGTTGACAGGGCATTAGGTCTTTTTTTTTTTGAGGGTGTTCAATTCAGCTGCTCCTCTTTTCCATTTTGTTCTTTCATTCTTTTGGCTCGTTTTTGTGCAGTGTGCTGTTGAAGTGTCCTTCGCAATAAATAGTGACAGCAGTGCGCTCCACCAGAGTGCACTTGAAAGATAACGTAGTGGTAGTAACTAATGCGAGTTTTGTGTAGGAGCCTGTATTTACAGGAGTGCCAAGTTACATGACAGTGCTGCAATCTGTAAAGATTGCAGCACTGTTGTCTTGTGAACTGGATCTAGTCTTTTGAATTGTGTCATGAATGCTTCTACGTCCTGTATTCTCTTGTCTTAACCTGCTTTCATTTCTGTGCAAACAGCTTCTCGGTGCATACTCGGTGTCCAAGACGGCGTTGTTGGGCCTCACACGAGCAGTTGCCGAGCAGGTGGCACCACTCAACATCCGAGTAAACTGTATTGCCCCAGGCATCATTAAGACCAAGTTCAGCGAAGCGGTAAGTGTCCAGAATACCTGACACTCTACTGCAATGAAACTTGTGACAAGCTTTACCCACTGTTAAATCCAGGAGCAAGGGATGTGGTCCTGGGTAAATCATATTCCTGCACTACTAAGAGGACATTTGTGTGATTGTTTAAGACTGTTGTTCTCAAACAACCACACTGAAAACGGTTGTTTGAGAACACGAAAGCGTTGAATTAAACAGCTTTAAAGCTCTTCTATGAGAAGAAACAGTTATGCAAGTAATGTACCTCCTTCCTTTTAGCTGCTATTTTACATAATCTTTAGCGCCTTCGGAGCACTCAAACTACCATTTGAATGTACGATTGAAAATACTTTCACCACTTCGCTATTGCAGCACCCCTTGCCATCTGCACCCCACATATGTACAGCCACGGCTGCGTCTGTGTGTAGCACGTGAGCTGCTGGTTTTTTCTCTGTGGAGTGACTCTTTGAGGCACTTCCGGGCTCCGACGTGGTCAGCCTGACTACTAGGCCACACATGCTCCTGACACACTATGTCAGAGCTCGCAAATGCCTCAAGGTGTTGTGAGGATGGCCGAGAGAGGGCGTTATGTGACGACATGATCATCATCATAGGGACTTGGTCGAGAGAGGGCACTACAAGATGGCACCATCATCAGCACTGGGACTGGGAGTTGTGGGGGTTGCGTGTGTGGGGAAGACGGGAGTTTGGCCGGGTTGGGAGGAGTGGCGAGACGTAGCGGTTGTGTTGTGTGCGATTTAGGGTTAGCACGTGACAAGTGGGGGCTCGTTCGGGATGGCTTCAGGCACGACAACAGGAGCGGACGACATGCCTAGGCTCCAAGGTGTCCTTGAAGAGCTGTTGCTGGGCGCTGACGGATCCGCCATGGAGCGCGAACGATTCGCGGCGGTCGTGCGCGATCGAGTGATGGTGACGCCGCTGCTCACAGCTCCGCACGTGGGAGCATGGACTGTGATTGCTAACACTGGCGCGGTCCCTCGGGCCACCGACGACTCTGCGCCTTGGCTGGCCGCTGTGCACCTCCCCCGCTACTCTTGTGTTAGAGACTTGCAGTCGCCGGAGGAGTTTCTTGAACACCTGGAAAACTTCTGCTTCGTAACGGGGGTCGCCGCCGATAAGCGACTGACTCAAGTGATACCGGCTGTCCTCGAGGATGGCGCGAAGTTGTGGTGGCAGTTTGTGCGCGGGTTCGACTCGTGGGAGCAATTCACTGCCGCTTTCCGCTCCGAGTTTTCGCCGATTGACGCGAAGCGTCGCCTGAAGGCGGAGCTCAAACAGCGCACGCAGCACCCGGAAGAGAATTTGAAGGAGTTTATTTATGCGATCACTACGTTTTACGAGCGCATCGGGGAAGAGGTCTTCGAAGCCGAGAAGGTGCAGCGCGTACTGAGGCAGATGCACCCTCATTTGCAAGATTTGGCGGAGGGGCATGCCTACAATGACCTCGCCGAGTTGGTGTAGGCAGCCGACGGCTTAATGGAGCGGGCTTGGCGTCGCCTTCAGTACAGACCACCGCCACTTCCGAGCAACTAAGTAGCCAGAGATCTGGCGTTCCGCCCTAGCCTGGCCCCTGACCATAGCTCACTGCCACAGCCGAACACTATGGGGATAGCGTCGTTCGCTTCGTTTGCTGCTGCCCCATGAATCCCGCCGACTTATCACTGGCCACTGCATCCAGCTGCACTGGACCCGTCGTGCTGTCGGGACCGGCAGTACTCGTGCGACACAGGGCCTCCGTTCTCACCCTACGGGCCTGGACCGACGCCGCGGCAGGAGCCCACGAGTGGAGCAATGCGTGTGCAGCGCCATCGCTGTGGCGGATTCGGCCACATTTCTCGTAACTGTGCCACGGGTCGATGAGTGGGGCCACCCGTTTGCTTCCGGTGCCAGTTATCGGGTCACCTGCAAGCACAGTGCCCGGGAATCCAGTGGCAATAGGTGCTGCCCCGGCGGGCACCTACGGCAGTGCGCACCAAGTAGCGACCACATCTGGTGGCAAAGAGCCCCTTATGGACATTCGAATCAGGTCGTCGACGTTCAAGGCCCTGCTAGACACAGGCTCAAGTGTAAGCATCTTCGGATTGCATGTCGCGGCGGCAACCCAGGCTTCTGGAGCCAAACCCAAGGCAGATGTACGGGTGCTGCGTTTGACATCAGGCTGGTCGCAGTCAATCATGTCTCTTAAGTGCCAGATCGACTGGGCTGCCGCTTACCGCAGACAGCAGTTTTTCTGCGTTCCTGACCTGCCTTGCGTTGTCCTTGGTAGGGATTTTCTGACAGTGAGTGGCATCTCCCTGCACGTGTCACTTGGTGGCTGGACTGTCGGCACAGAACCACAAAGAATTGTGCCCTTTGTCAAGGCCGTGAAAGAGCAGCCAGAGGCAGTGGATAATTTTGGAGACAGCCTGCACTGCATTTTTGCTGAGGGCGATGCCAGTGTGCCGGAGGCAACTGCAGCCTTCAATGTGATCATTCCCGGCCACTCGTCAGACCTAGACCTACGTATGAAACACATTTTAGAAGAGTTTAGTGAAATCTTCACCACCACTCCGGGCTGCACAACCTTGGTAGAGCATCGCATAGACACAGAAGACAACTTACCTGTTCCATGGAAACTGCGACCAGTGGATGCCAAGAAGCAGGCCATCATGGACAACTGCATTCACGACCTGCTGGCACAAAACCTCATCCGCCCTAGCCAAAGTCAGCATGCCAGTGCTCCAGTCCTGGTTGAGAACAAGTCTGGTGGCTACGGCATGGCTGTGGATTACCGTCAGCTGAATGCACGTACTAAAGTGCCAGTCTACCTCATGCCCAGGACTGATTGGTTGCTGGCACAGCTGGGACGAGCCAGGTGGTTCTCAAATTTCGATCTTTCACAGGGTTTTTTCAAATCCCTGTTCAAGAGCAGGATATTCCAAAGACAGCGTTCATTTGCCATCGGGGAACCTTAGAGTTCGTGAGAATGCCCTCTGGAGTTGCCGGAGGTCCTGCCACGTTCCAGACCCTGATGGACCCTGATGGAGGGAATCAGTCACCAGTTTGCCATGGCGTTTCTCGATGATGTCCTTGTGTATTCCGAGACCCTAGAGGATCATCTCGAGCATGTTCGGGAGGTGTTGAAGCGGATAAGTTTGGCACAACTGACCATTAACGCAGAGAAGGTGCACGTGTGCTGTCAATACCTGAAGTTCCTAGGCCTTGAAACATTGCCCGGGCAGTGTAGGCTGGACAAGGAAAAAGTGCGTGCGGGGCTGGACTATCCTCAACCAACAACACTCAAACAGCTGCAGGCCTTCCTGGGACTAGCAGGCTATTACAGAGGGTTCATACCTCAGTTTTCTATCACTGCACGTCCACTCACAAAACTCCTTAAGAAAAACCAACATTGGCGGTGGGAGCTGCAGCAAGAGGAAGCCTGTAGAGCACTTAAGCAGTCCCTGGCCGAAGATGTCGTTGTAAACTTTCCGGACCTCAACAGACCATCCGTGGTGGAAACAAATGCCAGTGGAGTCAACATGACAGCGGTGCTTTTGCAGGCAGCCGAGAGTGATGCTCAACTGCGTTCAATAAGCTTCATTATGGGGCACTGCCCCCATGGAACAGCTCAGCAAGGACATAATTGGGCCCTTGTCTATGACGCCTCGACGCCACAAGTACCCTCTCGTGGTGATTGACAAGTTTACCAAGTTCATTGAACTGTTCCCATTACGGGCAGCAAACAGCAAGAGTGTGGTGGCCTGCATGATCCAGGTTTTTTTGCAGGCATGGCACACCTGTCTTTATTTCAAGTGATAATGGGAAGCCCTTTGTAAGCAGGTTGTGGAAGGGCCTCCTTGAGCACTGGGGCATACAAGACCGACACACTGTTCCGTACCGCCCTGCTGGGCAAATGGTGGAGTGCCACAATGGCACTATCAAGCAGTGCCTTAGGGCTTATTGTTCCAGCCACAAAGACTGGGACCAGCACATCCTTGAAATTGCCCTGGCCATGCGCATGGCTGAAAGCGTTGTCACGGGCTACACGCCTGCCTTCCTCTGTGATGGCGGGGAGCTGAGAACCCCATGGACACAGGCTGAAGCCAAAGACGACGCGGAGCCTCCTGCGACAGCATAGCGTGCGTTTGCTACTGATGTCTCCAAGTGTCTGCAGGAGGTGCTTGACTTCTCCAGGGCACACCAGGGCCACATGTGGCGCGCCCAGAAGACTCGCTACGACCAGCGCAGGCGGCCACTGACAATACAGGAGGGTGATTTTGTTCTGCTCAAAAGCCACTCCCTCAGTGATGCCACCAAGGGCTTCTCCTCGAAGCTTGCACCCCGGCGTTCCAGTTCCTTTCGGGCAGTGAGACGTGTAGGACAGAATGACTCTGTTCTAGTGGACCCCAAAACGGGTCGTCGCCACGGTGTGAGACACGCAGATCAGCTGACACTCTACCATGAAGTTGCAGGCGATGTATAGCGATGGCTTCACATTTCGAGGGGGGGGGGGAGACCAGTGAGGGTGGCCGAGAGAGGGCATTACGTGACGGCATGATCATCACCATCGGGACTTGGTCGAGAGAGGGCACCACAGGATGGCACCATCATCATCATTCGGACTGGGAGTTATGGGGGTTGCGTGTGTGGGGAAGACGGGAGTTCGGCCGGGTTGGGAAGAGTGGCGAGATGTAGCGGTTGTGTTGTGCGCGATTTAGGGTTAGCGCGTGACAGTGTCACCCCACAAAGCGAAAACCGCCTGCTCACGTGCTATGCACCGACGCGGCCGTGGCTGTACTTGTGTATTGCACTCCATATTTCTCTGATTTGGGTTTCTGAAGAATGGGCGGTGTTTCAAGTAGCAGTGCTTGGATGCTATCAAATTAAAAGATAAACAACTGTTCGCAACATAAATTGAGACAGCCATTATAATGAAAAGATTTTGTCTTCTGTTAATTGTATGAGCACTGTTTTACTTAGTGTGTGAAGATTGATACTCTTGATTGTAAAAATGTTTGCATGGTGCTTCTAGAGCAAAAAATATGATTCATTATAAGAAATTCTGTTATGCGGCCTTCCTTGAGTGAAAGTCTAGGTTGTCTAGCTGGCCCTTCTGAAATGGTGCTTCCTAGAGCAAAATATATAATCCATTATATAAATTCTGTTATGTGGCTTTCCTTGTGTGACAGTCTAGGTTGTCTAGCTCGCCCTTTCCAATGAAGAAAGTAGGACAGGGAGTGCTACAACGTGCTCTGTCAGCAAAGAAATATGGCTGGGTCTATCTGACTGGTTCATGTTCCGTGCACAATGATAATGTCATGGAATTAGTTGAAAGTAATGCAATAAGAAGTTATGTGGTCAGTTCAATTGTGCTAGTGAAGCCTCTTAGGCTTTATAACAAGTTCTGCACATTGCTCATGAAAAATGGTGCAGGGATTTTCGCAACTGGTCGCTTGTTGAGAGTTGGGTAGGGCAAGGGGCAGGGCATGACGCTTCTTTTTCATGTCGTGTTCAAAAGTTTACTACATTATACTTTCTAGTGCTTCAAAGGAGCTTGTACTGAAGCTAAGGGTCACGGTCAGAAAAACTTTTGGTGGGGTATCTGGTATCCTGCCTTCGCCCTTCACAGACCTTTCCCTGGCTATTTCATGAAGTCAGCATATGAAACTAACTCAGGGAGTTAATTTGTCGGGTCTTCCTTATATACCCTGCCAAAAATTTTGAAATGTGAGAACTTACATTTCGCTTTCTATGAGTCCTCGCATTGACGTGTTGCTGTAATTTACATGAAATGGCTCTTGTGATGTCATGAGTGAATGGAAGTTATCAACTGACTTTTAATTCTTGCTCTCTCTTCTTCCTTCTCATGCTGTAGCTATGGAAAGAGCCATCTATAGAAGCTGCCATCCTTCCACAAGTCCCACAGAAAAGGTGAGCAACATAATCATGCACAAATGCTGTTTTTGTTTTATGCCGACTGTGTGCAGCCTTGAATCAAAATTGCAACCACATGCACATATTAATCTTCACTGATGATTATAACAACAGTTAATGTATTATAGTATAAATTGTTTGATGATCGTTTGTGTCAAATATAGTGCATACATAGCTAGTGTTTGACTTATTCTGTACAACTGTTGCAGCTCGATTCACTATTCTCTTCTGAGTCTGCGTCTCACCTGAACTAATGCAGTGTTTCGTTGTGCAACTAAGCGAATATTGCTGCAGTACACTGTGTAGGAAATGTGCTTAGAAACAAACAGAACACAGGAACTTACAAGGAGCACGCACAGGTGCTATTAACACACTCAGCAGTGCATGCACTGCAACCAAATGCAAGCACTATGGACACAGTGCCATAGATGCAGTGGGTGAACACACTTATGGTACAATTGAACTGGGCGTCATTGCGCCGTAGCTTAGATTACAACACTGCAGAGCCGACATTTCATGCAAATCGCAGAATAGGTGTCCCAGTCGAACATGCAATTGCTTGCCAGGTTATGGTGGCCAGAAGAAGGAAACACATCACTGCATACCTTTGTATGTATTATACATAACGGCTTCACATTGAAGCAATAGGCATCACCAAAACTGCTTCTCTGCCTAGAGCAGCCGTATTTTCTTACGCCATTATTTTGTAGAGTTATGCTTGACCTGAGACATATTCCAATTTGTTGCCATCATGTTCATTGGTTCACCCTTGCTGCAAAAAACTTTATAAAATGTCGCCAGTGGTCAAGTCCTTTGTTGTTAATGCAATCCTCATTCCCTTCAGGCTTGGAACTCCAGAAGACTGCGCCGGCGTTGTCTCTTTTCTAGTCTCTGACGATGCCCGCTATGTTACCGGCGAAAACGTTCCTGTGGCTGGAGGCTTCTTTTGCAAGCTCTGAGACTGGCACCCAAAGCCTCGCGCCCCACGTTGCACGACAACATGGCGCAGAAGATTCCATGAAACGTTTTCTTTGTTAGTTTACCGAAATTTCATTTCCAGTATTCGTATATTTAGAACACTGTGCTTGAGGCACACCACTGGTTTTCTGTTGTCCTGCAGAAGAACTGTAAAACGTGGCAACGTCATACATTCTTCATCGAAATATGAACGTAATGGACCTACATCTAAACGCTATATTTTCAACTTCAACATGCAATGAGTGGACATTTATATGAAAGATCTAATCACAATACTGATGCTTGCTTATGTAAACTTCCAGTTTCACTTTCAGGTTGTAAATCCGCGATATTGCAAAAAATTAGTATAGCGACTTACCACTTATTGCGATGTAAGTGTAAAATATGCTGCTATTATTGGCATTGAATGGATGTATGTTTATGAAAGACTACAAGTGCAAAGGTGTTTTCTTGTCATGAGACCTCATTGTTACCTAGGGTGGATTATTATATTGACTTGCAGGTCAAGTGTATGTATTATGAAAAAGAAGTTTGATTGGCAAAGATCTTTAAAGGCGGTAAGTTGAGTGACGTTTGTGTAGCACGGATGCTTTGTGGTCTCCAATCAGTGGATGTTAGGTTAAACTGGTTGACCTTTCGAGAATGAACAGGATGGTTAATTGTAAAATAACCATGCCTGCTCATTATTTTGCTGCAAGTCAAAGCAGTGATGTGTCATGGGTGCTCTCTTATACAGAATTCAAGCTTGTGCCCATCTGACGTGTAACAGAGCATTGTCGTCACTGTAGTTGTACTGTGGACCGATGTCAGCACGCGAACTTGCTTCGCCTCCTTCTTCTCGACGGTTGTGGTCCCAGGCATGTCGAAGTAAAGAGGCGTCTGATCGGCATTCCCGATTTGCCCAAGCAGGTAGCCGTTGTTGCGCCGCAAGTTTAGGACGAACCTTTGAAAACTGTGAAGCTTTTCATCGTACTCCTCCGCAAAAGTTTTCGCATATGCATGTTCCCCTTCGGAGGGAAAAGCCTTTCCTCTTCATAAAGTTAATTAGCCAGCACCTGCTCGCTTTAAACTGGCTCCGCATTAGACCTTTTTCTAAGACTAATTGCATAGCCTGCACTTGGAGCAGTTCTGTCGTCACGGGCCGCTGTGCCGCTCGCTGTTCAAGCACATACTCACCGAGCTGTTCTTTAATTTGCGGAAACCGACCCTGCTGTGGTCCACTGAAGCTTTTGCGTGAAGCTTGTGTCATGGGTGCTCTCTTAATACAGAAATCGCAGCATGTTGCATCATGCAAGCTGTTTTCTTATTTCTTTCGAGGCAATCTAAAATCATTCAAGTTACTTCTTTTTGTTAAATGTTGATTATTTTCCTCATTTGTTGACTTCAACATATGTTCAGACAGCTCAATCTTACTGCAGCTGACAAGGGCCTGTTGGGCTGCAACCATGGCGTAATTCATTGTTGTTGTAACACTAAAGCAACATCTGCGCTTCTAAGGCAACCTTAACTATGATAGGGACCTCTGTACCATTTAGCATGATAAAATGTTTCTTCTGAGCTGTAGCAGATGGATCTGTTCTTGCTGCACAGTGTTAACCTTGAGGAACTGCAAACGCGTGACTTCTCAAGCTAAGAGTAAATTCTTGTTCCTAATGGCCCGAGTGTGTACTCCAGCCCAGAGTTCTGGGAAGGAAGTTTGGGAGTTCCGCGTTAGAAACTCTCACATGGGCGTGTCACAGTTGCTAATGCATCTTCTCTGTGCAAGCATCAATCTGAACTGGGCTCCTGTTTTTAAGATGCTGAGGCTTAGAAAGTACATGAAATCTTGGGAAATTGTGCCGTAAACGAAGCGAATATGTGTTGCTAGATCTGGACCAAGCAAGTGGCTATGAAAGAGCCAAATGTTGACACCGTCTCTATGAGCAACAAGGCGTTTATGCATTGTGCGCTGCAACACACGATGTTTATGCTCCAATCTTGACAGATAGATGAAGACAGCTATTCTGAAAGGTATGACAAAGTAATTTCGCAACGTTCTTGCATGAGCTGTTGTCAGCGGCCATTTTTACGAAGATGGCGCTCTTGCCGTGCACGTAGCATGAGAGTGGCATGGGTAATGTTGCTATATCTGTAAAATTCACGAGTTCACGGTGTGCCATCCGTCAGCAAGTTTTTGTTAGCCTTGTTTAAGTTTGAGTTTCAGCTATGCACGTTGATTTTCTGTTGGACACATAAAAAAAATAAAGCCGTTGCTGTTCACACGACTTTTTTGTCATTGTGTTTGATATTTTGCTATCGCTAATTGGTAGGCTTTCCTACCATGCAAAGCTGGAGTTTTGTGTGAGCATACAAGAGTGATCGTTAGTGAATCTAAGTCAGACAATAATAAATATGATATGGGCAAGATCTCTTCTGCGCTTCCAGTGTGTGTGCAGGGCACATCTGACTGATTGTTCCCCGAGTTATTGAGGTGTGAAGGTGAGCAAGGCGGGCACGACTGCCTGGGGGCTCACTGTCCTGTCGATCGCCGCCGACTGGCCAACTCCACTCGAGAAACCTCTCTCTCTGGGAAATGAACTAAGAATGTTTCAGGAAATCACTTTACCTTGTAGATTCCATTGTAAGGTTTATCCAGAGGCAGCACAATCTATGAGAAGAAATTCCGCAGTGAAAAATTTGCAACCGGAATGTTTTGTCCTACGAAAGTCGTCTAATGACTTGCAGCCGCAATGTGTGCTTAATTGAGGACATGCCAATGTTCCCTGCCTGTTTCACAGAAGGCGATAGTGATTATGTATTTTGAAGTGCCAGGTTCTTATGAAGAGTAGGCTTGTTTGAGGTCGCTGAATGTAAAATAAAAAGAATTTCTCAACAGGCTGCGGTGCTTTTCAGCTATAAAGATATGTTTGTGCGAACAACAACTCACGAATAACACCAACTTGTCTTGTCCTTTTTTTTTCTTCTTTGCGGTCTGCACAGAAGGAACAGAACAGGCGTCCTCAAGTGAGGATCATTCCATTTGCATGAAAAATGTCGCCTTGCCCGCTGCGCCACCAAATGAAAACCTACACTCAGAAATTCAGGCCTCAGCTGAAAACACTTCTGTTTTACCGCGTTTTACATGAGTGGTTATGCAAGTCTCGCGCTTCGCGAGATCGTCGAAAAGGGACGCTTTTCTGGGATATCTTCTATGTGGGAACCATCCGACATAATGTCACAATTACCCAACTTTGTACAACTGTAGACACGTGTAATTATAAGCTGTTCTACTTCCTTCAGCTAGTCTCGTATCTCTCTGGCCGTGATTGTCCAATGACTACCAGAGCAATACGACTGCTTGCTGTTCGATATTGTCGCGAAGAAAACAAGACCTGCAGCCAGGAGTTCACTTGAACCAGAGCAACGAAGATGTTCTCTTCTACTTCGCGCCCAAAAACGCGTATGAGCCACAGTGGCTCGTTCATCAATGGTGGCATTACCCCCTCTCCCAAGAAGCATCGTCGCGATGCTGTACATGAAGGCAAAAAAAAGAAAAGAAAATTGGATGAAAATTAGCATGCGAGCAAAATGAATGACGTAAGGCGGAATAACGTAGTTGGTTGTGGGGACAAAAGTTAGAGAAATAAGAAAAATGGGAAAAATGTAAGGAAAAGACGAAACAAAAAGAAAGACGCGAAGTTACTAATAAAGTCAGTCACTCCCTGGCGATTCACAGCGCGAAAAGTATGGTTTGAGACGTGAAACGTGAATGACTTCAGTTTGCGGGGTGAAACGGGAACGTCTCGAATTGCCTTGTGGGAGAACCTCGTAAGTGACGTCACTGAGACGTCGCACAACCTTGTAAGGGCCGAAGTAGCGGCGAAGAAGCTTTTCGGAACGTCCACGCTGTCGGATAGGGGTCCACACCCAGACTTCATCACCTGGCTTAAAAATAACTTCACGGTGGCGAAGATTGTAGCGGCACGCGTCTGCGGTTTGGTGACGTTGAATGCGGTGACGAGCATGTTGACGGGCCTCTTCTGCGCACTGCGCGAATTTGGCGGCATCCGTGTGGTATATTCCTAAGTTGTCGGGCAGGAGCATGGCGTCGAGCATCGTCGTGACGTCACGACCGTGGACTAAGCGAAAAGGCGTGAAACCAGTACTTTCTTGAACAGCAGTGTTATACGCAAAAGTTACGTAGGGAAGTATGGTGTCCCAGTTCTTGTGATCGATGTCCACATACATTGACAGCATGTCTGCAATTGTCTTATTGAGTCGTTCAGTCAGCCCATTTGTTTGCGGGTGGTAAGCCGTTGTTTTACGATGTTCCGTGCCACTTAATCGCAAGACTTCCTGCAGCATCTCTGCGGTGAAAGCTGTCCCACGATCAGTTATGACGACAGCTGGAGCAACGCGTGACGTAAGACGATGCTGTTAACAAAAAATTGGGCGACATCTGCTGCGGTGGCTTTTGGAAGTGCCTTGGTTTCACAGTAGCGTGTTAAGTAGTCTGTAGCGACGACAATCCACCGGTTTCCAGACGAAGACGTGGGGAATGACCCCAGCAAGTCCATGCCAATCTGATGAAAGGGCGCCTTTGGTGGGCCAATTGGGTGCAGTAGTCCCGCTGGTCGTAAAGGTGGAATCTTACGTCGCTGACAGTCGCGACATGTGCGAACGTAGTGCTTCACAGTCTTCGCGAGACGTGGCCAGTAGTAGGAGCGTTGAATCCGTGGCAGCGTGCGCGTATAGCCGAGGTGTCCGGATGATGGCTCATCGTGACACGCACGTAAAATGTCACCACGAAGCGTAGTTGGCACAACAAGCAGATACATAGCTTGTGTAAGATGAAAGTTCTTTTTATAAAGCACTCTATCACGGAAACAAAAGGAAGATAGTGAGCGCGCAAAGCTTCGAGGAAGGTGGGAATTGCGTCCTTCCAGGTAGTCAATGAGCGGGATGAGCTCCGAGTCATGACGCTGTTGCTCCGCTAAGCTGGTCGCTGATACGGCAGAAAGAAAAGTGTCGTCGTCTTCAAGGTCAGTGTTGGCATTTTCGACCGGTGCACGTGAGAGACAGTCGGCGTCGGTGTGTTTCCGCCCAGATTTGTGGACGATGGTGACATCGAAATCTTGTAGCCGAAGGCTCCATCGTGCTAGACGACCTGAGGGATCTTTGAGATTCGCGAGCCAACAAAGGGAATGGTGGTCGCTAACTACCCTGAATGGGCGGCCATACAAGTATGGGCGGAACTTTGTTATGGCCCAGACAACAGCGAGGCATTCCTTTTCGGTTGCAGAATAGTTTTTCTCCGCTGGGGATAACGTTCTGCTCGCATAAGCGATCACGCGCTCTATGCCATTTTGCCACTGAACTAATACCGCTCCTAGTCCAACGTTGCTGGCGTCAGTGTGTAATTCCGTGTCAGCGCTTTCGTCAAAATGACCTAGTACAGGCGGAGCCTGGAGGAGGTTTCGGAGGGTGTCGAACGCATGGCACTGATCGGGACCCCAAACAAACGAGACACCGTCTTTTGTAAGCTTGTTGAGGAGTTCAGCAATCTTCGAGAAGTTTTTGACAAAGCGCCTGTAATACGCACAGAGCCCCAGAAATCGGCGTAGGTCGCGCTTATTTGTGGGCACGGGAAAGGTGGCAACGGCGCGGGTTTTCTCGGGATCTGGGCGGATGCCAGCATGGCTCACAACTTGACCAAGGAACTTCAGTTCTT